CAAGTCTCCAATCAGGTAAGTACCACAGTCTCATATCACCGAAGTCCAACTCTGATCTCTGTCCAACTGGATAGTCTCCAATCTGAAGAAGAAGAAGAAGAAGAAGAAGAAGAAGAAGAAGAAGGAGGAGGAGAAGAGGAGAGAGAGAGAGAGGGGACTGGCGAGGGAGAGGAGGAGAGATCCTCCAAGCTCCCAGTACCTCAGGCGGCAATGGCCGCCGTGCTGGTTCAGTCGTCSTGCCGCTGCTCCGCTCGCTGCTGCGCTAATCTGCGCTATGCTGCGCTCCTGCTTCAGCCCCTGYGYTAAGTTTAGCGCATCAAAACAGCGCTCTGGCGCTGACCATACCGTACCGGTATAGTGCCGGTAGGTCGATGCCTCTACTGAGGCAGGTACCGGTACTTATACCGGTAGGCCATGGTCTGGCCTCAATGCTGCGAGGCCAGGCCAGGCCCTGGACCGTCCAGATGGACGGTTCAGCCTGCATCGGCGGGTGGCAGCCTCAAGAGCGCCGCCAAGCCCAAACAAAGTGTCGTTTGGGCCTACCCGCTGGGCTGAGTGCAAAATCAGGCCTTTAGGGCCTGTGACCCTCAAAGGTCGGCCTTTAGGCCCTGGTGTGTCCCTCCGGCCCTAAGTCGGGTCCGGTAGGACCCGTGTGACTCGAAGATGTAACACTCCCCATCAAAGGACAGTGGATTAGGGTCGTCTCAAGCGAGAACTGGGGAAGGGGCAAGCACGGACACCTCTCCACTTTCCCCTACCTAGACGGTCCGGGATCAAGAGTCTCTCTAATCTGATCCAGCTATTGCTATGGAGAGCTACAGGAGAAGAGCGAATGAGGTAAGAGACCACACGGATTGGAAGAATCAAGGATTAGTCCTCAGAAGCTGGAATGTCAACGGACTAGGGAACATAATAGAAAGAGAAGAAAAGTGGAACGATATACTATCCGAGATTTCGATGAGGGACAGGAAGCTAGCAGATATAGTGCTACTGCAGGAAACACACCTCACCTTCTCAACAACACACAACATAATTCGATCATTTATGGCAAGAAAACTAGGCGGCTTGAAGGAATAAATTTGGTCTGTTGACCCTGAAACAAGCACTAAGGGAACGGCCATCCTGATTCCCAAATCCTCCCGCCTATATGCAGCAGGCTCGGGCGTCAACAAGAAAGCCGGCCAGACAGAAGGAAGGTGGTGTATGCTACATCTGAAATGGAAGGAAGAGAAACTCTTACTCTTCAATATCTATGCCCCAAACTCGCCATCCGAAGAACGTCCTTTCTAAGACAAATCGGAGACCTGATTCCTCCATTTACCCCATGTATTATGGCAGGAGATTGGAATGCTACAATAGACCCATCAGTGGACCATATTTCTCGTTCCTCCACTATCCCAAACTTATCAGAAGCAACACCAATCCAGGAAATGATGCTGAACCACAACCTGGTAGACCCCCATAGAATCCTACACCCCAACAAGAGAACCTTCACCTTAGTCAAGAAGAACCATGCTAACCATATGGCCGTTTCACGAATAGACTATTTCCTAGTGTCCAAAGTCTTGATGGGGGCAGTCAAGGAAGCTGAAGTATTACCGCTAGCTCCATATTCTGGGCTGGATCACAAACCAACTGAACTGGTCATATGCTTTGACCAAGTGGTTTCAAAGGAAGCCAACTTCCACAAGCTCAACAACTCCCTCCTGCCGAGCCAAACTTTCCAAAGTGAAGTTTGCGACTGCTGGCAAGGGTTGAGGTCGGTACACCTAAGCACTATTCCTCTATGGGAATGGTTTCAGAAGAGCTACTCGACCCTTTCAGACACCGTGGCCAAAGTGTCTAGGAAGCTAGCGTCGATAAAGAAACAAAGAAAGCAATCATTAGTATTTGCACTAAAAATAGTTGAATCTAMCCTGACAAACAACCCCGCCTCTCAGCTATATATCGAGATCTTCGACAAGGCCCGAGAGGAATTGGCCATGTGGAAATGGTGGAATCTGAAAGGCCTTCAAATAAGAGCAAGAATGTGCGAGTACGAACGAAGCGACTCAATGACTAAGCACTTTTTTGCCTGAATCAAAGCCAATTTGAGAGCTGGCACGATAGAAGGCCTGAGGTCACACACAACTCCTGAAACTGTGAAATCAGAAAGTGAAGGGATGTTGGAGATAGCCAACAATTTCTACAAGGATCTATACCAGTCCAAGACTGGGGCACCAATACCCATCAACGTCAGAGAGGCAAGGCACAAAATGCTACACTACCTAGAGCGAACAATATCACCTGACCAGGCTGACGCTCTTGACAAACCTTTCACATCAGAAGAAATACTTCGGGCTCTGCTCTACAAAGTATGAACAATAATAAGACCCCAGGAATTGACGGGTTAACAAAAAAGTTATGGGAAAAATTTTGGCCCTTGCTAGGAAGTGACTTACTAAACTTCTATAATGACAGTTGGTCCAAGGGGGGGCTGGGTAATCTTCTCAGCAGCGGCGTGATCACGCTACTTTACAAAAAGGGCGAAAAAGATGACATTAGAAATTACAGGCCCATATCGTTGTTAACCCTCCCATACAAGATCCTGTCCAAGACCCTGTCTAACCGGATCATTAAGATCACCAACAAATGCTTCCACATTGACCAAACAGGATTCATCCTGGGTCGTTATATTCTGGATAATGTTATGACATTGAACGAGTCATGAAGAAAAATCAGAGAAAGGAAAATAAATTCTGCCATTCTCTTCTTTGATTTTGAGAAAGCATATGATCAAGTTAACTCGGACTTTATGGAAGCAAGCATGGAAAGAATGGGAGTCGGACTGAACTTCAGAAAGTGGGTTAGGATACTCTTCAAGGATGCAGTTGGCTATGTCCAAGTCAATGGACTTTTGTCAGATTGCTATCCGATATCCCGCTCGGTCCGCCAAGGGGATCCTCTAGCTCCGCCAATCTTCCTATTCGTAATGGAGGCAATCGCATCCTTCCTGCGCAAGGATCCATCAATTCAGAGACTAGCCAACACCGATGTAGGCTCGGCCCATCAGATGGATTTCCCCGCAGCTATCATGTTTGCCGATGATTTAACGGTTCTTATCAGAGCATCAGATTCCTCCTTTAGAACACTAGCCAAAGCAATGGAAGCATTCAGGTTAGCCTCATTAATGAAGATCAATTGGGGGAAAACAATTGGCCGGTGGCTCTCCGATGACGAACCCCTTTCTCTCCAAGGATGTGAGGGGGCTATGACATGGCAAACACCGGATACACCCACACGTTATCTAGGTATCCTGATGGCGAAAGAAGGATTGGCGCCCCAAATGGGCTTATCTATGCTGGCCAAACAGATTAACAAAATCGGAAGGTGGGGCAACGCCTTCACTTCCCTTATCGGCCGAGCACTGGTTCTCAATACGCCAGTCTTCTCAATGATGTGGTATATTGCTTCTATCTGGACAGTTCTCGACAGCTCCATTAAGGAGCTGAACAGACGAGCCAGGATTTACCTATGGACAGGAGACCCCAACAAAGACAAGGGCATATCTAAGATAGCCTGGCACTACGTCACAAGGAGGCCACGAGATGGGGGCCTAGGAATCATTGACCCCGGAACAGAAACGAAAGCTCTGCAAATTAAATGAATCATCAAACTGCTGATGAATCCGGACAGCGCCTGGAATAACTTGGCACTGGACAGTATCAGATCGGTAGCTCCCGTTCCCTCCCCGAACGATATGTCAGGCCTATTTTGGGTAATGAACAAAGAATGGGTGATATCTACAGGATGGAGGAATCAGACGAGGAATAACAGACCCGAAGACCATCGGTCGCCCACCCCCTACTGGCCGGCATTGCTTCGATCGTGGAGGAAAATAATCCCTAACAAGATAAACAAACCTAAATCTAAAGATGAAGTACGAAGACAACCGCTCTTCGGCAATGAATGGCTAACAAACGAGGCCAACAACCCACTTTTCCTTGAACAGAGGTGGCTATCTTGGATCAAGAACGGTATCTGGAAAGTAGACCACTTGTGGATGGAGGACAAAAAAGACTGGATAACAGAAAGGTTGCCACAGACGAGAGACCAATCTTCAATACATACTGAGTCGTATTCCTCAAGAATGGAAAGATATCCTGGTAAAAGATGAGTCCTGGAGACCGGGCGAATGGGGTCTTTTGATTCAAGACACATCCCTTTCTAGAGCCTATCAATTCTTTCACATGCAGCAAGGCTCACACACCAGAGCCATCTTCCTCTCCTTCCCGGTCTCCTTCACCAATACGGACAGGCTAGCTATTTTCAACGACAATGTAGAAACATCTATACTGGATTCCTTCCTCCTCAGAAAAGTAAGGGTCCTAGGTTCATGGCCGAAGGCAATTTTCAGAACGGATACGGCAATCCGATCCTTGGAGTTCGACCCAGCGGAGTGGGCCTGGAAGCCAAATTCTACCAGCAACTTCAAGTCAAAAGTCCCGATCCAGGACTACTCAGTTAAACTTGGGTACAGACTATCTCTGAAGACCAGAAATCCAGATCCAGTCATCAAAAACAGATGGCGGAACCTCGTGGGTCAAGAAGCAGACGAAATCACACGAATCCATTGGGAAAAATTCAAACGTATCAGACCAATCAAGATCAGAAGTTTGCAATGGCTGATTGTATACGCAGCCCTGCCGGTGAACCAATGGCTGCACATTAGACGGAAAACCACAGACCCAGACAGCTCGGAATTATGTACAGTATGCTCTGAAGGCTCGGTAGAAGACGTAGTTCACTGCCTAGTGCTCTGTAAAGAGGCGACCAAATACTGGGCGAGAGCTTCTTCACTCTGGGATTCCCTCTTTTCTTCTCCCTTCCCCAAATAACCCATTCACCTGCTCCTCTTGACTAACATCCCTGATCAGGCTCGGAAGGCTGAGAGGATCTGGTTTGAACTCATCAGGAAGGTGACCCTATGGGTCATATGGAAGGAGAGATGCAGCCGAACAATTGAAGGACGGTCCAACCCACGGGAGAAAGTGTGGATAGAAACTAAAACAATGATTCAAGCCGAGATCCTGTGCAGATGGCGGAAAATCAAACGAGCCTGGACCGAAGACGAAGAACAGCGGAACAAGGAGAGGCAGAGATTCTACAGGATCTGGCTGGTTGATGGCAAGGTTGGAGAACTGCGACAGGACCGGGTATGCTGGAAAGAATGGCATAATTCAATTCCAGAAAGGGGTTCCCAACATCGGACGTCGCTGGAAGGCTTAACCACATCTTAGGCTGCAAGAGGATAAACATAACCCAGGGGGTACAGACGACGTGGAAAAAGGAGGACAATTCTGACAACTCTGGAGCATGAACGGGGGTCGCAAAGGATGATCCCATCTCAGAGATCCGGAAGCTGGCGAACACCCTGCCAGGGTCCATTTTTGACAATTGGATGATAAGAACGCAGACTGAGGGTGTAGGTTTTAATGATATACGGTTGACCTTTCAAAGGGGGCAAAGTGGTATATGGGGAAGGACCAGGTTGGGTAAGGTCAACAGATGTGATCTTTCTAGGGTCAAATGCTTTATCTGACAGATCTGGATTCCGGGTCTGAGAGGAAAGAGAGGGACAAGGCAAGCTGACAGTCAATCCTCCCGTGGTGGAGCAATCAATGCTGCTCAGGGGTCCTTCGGCCTGACGGAAGGAAGCGTGTGTGATTGGTAATTGTTGTAATGTATAATTTGACTTGCTGGTGGAATAGGAACCAGACTGACGCTCCCCAGAATAGAAGGAGCCAGGACCATAAGGCCCTGTTTTTTTTTTTTTTTTTTTTTTTTTTTTTTTTTTTTTTTTTTTCAAAGGGGAAAGGGGAGATCTGGATTTGTGACATAGGCAGGGGTTGCCCAGATTGGGAGGCAACAGAAGATCTCATGCAGAGGCATTTCTGGGTGCACATAGGTGCAACATAACATTAAGCCATTCAGATGAGCCCCCCAGCCAACGGCAGACAATCGGGCACACACACAATGTGAAAATTTTGCCACTGTGTGTTTCCCATTTTTCTGGCACACTATCTCTGGCAAACATTGTTTGTTTACTCTGCAAAAGTAAACCTAGGAAATATCGAAAACAAGCGGGCACATGACGAAATCCAGCTGTCGTGGGGACGATTGCTGTGAAGGTTGTCTGCCTGACAATCAACTTGGCAGAAGTTTACATAGCTGATACATATGCTTATCACTGTTTCCCAATGCTGTGCTTAGCTATGGCCAACAGTGGAAGGTGGATGGAGGAGGTACTCCTGAGCTAATTGTTCCCCAAACCAAGCGGAGCAGTCATTGCTGCGGCTCATCAGACCACTTGCTCAATTACCGGCAACCTGCCGCTGCCGACTTCAGGTTCTAGCATTTTGTTGTTGTTAAATTGTATGTAAAATTTCTCAATTGCACTTTACAATGCACACCAGAGTCACCAGAGAGACATGAGGGAGGACTTGCTGGCAGTTTGCTGCAGTTATTAACTTGTTATGCCTTTCAGCCATGACCCCAGTAGCGGACATCAGGCTAGGCACTAGCTGGAGTAGATACTATGCCTCTGACTCTAAGGGAGTGCAAGTTCACTCTAAGCACTTTTGCCATTCTCAAATGGTATCATGCACCTGCTCCCAAGGGGTTGAAGCAGTCATCGGGGATTCGGGGCATGGAAACAAATTTGGAATTACTTGGGAGTTTATGAATTTGTAACCGTTGTAAGTTTGTAGTACTCTGTACCATTCTCCATTTATGTGTGTCATCCTTCACGCAGGGGCCATTTGCTAATTTGCCCTTCTCTGTATCGTTCCAATTTTAACGGATGTTAGGAAGGACACACTCTGTGAATTTCTGTAGATTGCTTATATCTTCTAAAAGAGAGACCGGGGCCATGAAATGTCATCTTCAAACTGATTCGCCCTAGGTAAAGTCCGAGTTACATCTGTTTGGATTTGGATTCGAACTGGGGTTTGTGTTTCCGCAGTTTGTGGGCGTATTAACTGAGCTAGGCCAGTTGGTAATTTGTGTACAAGTTGTAACAATCTGGCCGAGAATGGTCGGAGCTGGGGTGGGTAGCGCTGCCCTGTAACCGAGCCATATTGGGGTGTGAGACCGGGAAGAGGCCTGATTGGTGCACAACACGGGCTCAATTGTGATTGGTTGTTTGGAATGGATACAGGAAACTAGGGATAGGATAGTAATTCAGTGCTGAGTAGACAATCTTTCTGATTAGTCATCATCTAGCTCTATTTCATGACCTCAATCACCCACTCTGACATCCTAAATCATCCAAAATGATCCTCAATCATCCCAAATTTTCATCAATTGTCAATCAATGACAATCATCAATGTATTCCCATTATAAGGGACGCTGGGCCCGGTTCCCAGCACGTGGTGCTCCCCACAAATAGATTGGAGCAATATTAAAAAAAA